ATGGCTCATTTGTGGCCTCCCTCATCGTCCCCTCGGTCTAGATAAAACTGTAATCTTGCTTCTTTCCCTATTTTGAGTGTGTGAGAGTGTTTAGAGTGCTCTTTGGTGGTTTTCATGAAGGAGTTGAAGTTAGTGGTGCATAACTAAAGATAAGAGCTTTAGATCCAAGATTTTCAGTGTTGTTGCAGCTATATGGAGGTATAAAGTCGTTATCTTGATCATCCTTTTATTAGATCTCTTCTCTTGAAAGTTTATGGCCATTGTTAGCTTATTTTGAGGACAATCTTGGATTTGAGCATGTCATGAAGCTAAGACTTCAGATCTGGACATCTCATGGCCTCCGTAGACTTAAAGTTGCCAACTTTATCAAGTCTTAGCCTTCCTTCATGTCCTAAGTCCCTTGATAATCCTTATTTGAGTGTTCTAGCCCTTTTGATACCATGCATGGACGTAAAGTTAGCAACTTTAAGTGGTATCCTAGTCCTAGGGGACCAGATCCGTAGTTTGGAGCATTAGACTCGCTTGGAAGCGTCTGAATGCATAAAAGGCTAGGAAGAACTCGAGGAGTTGCTATGCCAACACGACGAGTTGGTGAGGGTTTTCCCACATTCTGGATACTGAAGAACTCGATGAGTTGCTCTGCCAACTCTACGAGTTGGATTGAGTTTTCCGGTCTTCTGGATGATGAACGAACTCGACGAGTTGATGAAATAACTCGGCGAGTTGGCTAGGGTTTCTCCCAGTTTTCTGAACACTGAAAGAACTTGATGGGTTGCTGGATGCACTCGACGAGTTAGGTCAACATGGACTGTTGACCTTGACTGTTGACTTTGACCATGGTTGACCAAGTTTGATTTTGAGGGTATTTTTGGGAATTCAAGATTTTAATGGAGTTAGTCACATGGTGATTGTAGGTGGTTGAGCTCAAAGCTGTGATTCGAGGGTTGGATCTTGTCAGTTAGTGCTACATGTGAGGTGAGTTTTCCTCACTATACTAAGGGGTCAAAGGCGCCAAGGCCGGACCATTGGATTGATATCCTAGTAGTTATTGATATGTCGAGTATGAGTTAGATATGCATGCTAGTTTGATATGCTAGTCTGCTAGATTTTGTAGGACTGCCTGTGATACTGTCTGATTATCTGTATGATTATTTATCTGTTACATGTCGACATGTTGTGTTGTGTGGGTTGAGGTAGTATTGCTCCGTATGGTAGCCAACAAACCCTGGAGTATGCAAGATATGAGCTGAGGTCCGAGCAGGGCATGCCAGATTCATACTGTAACATCCATAAAATTCAATCCAATTTAAAACTTTTTAATTCATACAAAACCATTCAGTTATTACAATTTGTTTTCAAAATAATTTAGACATCAAAGTTCCCAGAAACCATAATCATCAATCGAGGAAGTGTACGGTCATGCCTTTGTCTTCCCACGGTCATCCGCTGAACCTGAAGCAATAAACTGAAACTGTAAGCCCGAAAGCTTAGTGAGTTACCCCCAAAATACCCATACATACAACAATACACATATAATAAAAAAAACATACGATGGTTCCAATCATCCATCGGGATGGAATACCTTAGGCCCTCAACCATTGGGTTGGAATGCCTACATACTACGAGTCCAATCATCCTTGGGATGGAATGCTCTCGGCCCACAACCATCGGGTTGGAATGCCCACACACACTACATATATAACAACTATTATAAGTCCAATCATCCATCGGGATGGAATACCCCAGGCCCCTCAACCATCGAGTTGGAATGCCAACATACTATGGGTCCAATTAATTATTGGGTTGGAATACCCCAGGCCCTCAGCCATTGGGTTGGAATGCCAATATACTATGGGTCCAATCAACCATCGAGTTGGAATACCCCATGCCCTCAACCATCGGGGTTGGAATGCCAACATACTATAACCAATTAAACATGTGCACCTATATCAGATAATCATATAACAACTATAAGACAACATAATAGGGTCCTATCATCCTTGAAATGGAATACCCTCAACTACCAATCAATCATTTGCACATAACAGGTAATCTCCTACCAGCATATAGACAGCCAGGCCAACTATAGGTCACTAAGCATAACTACATCCGATCTACCAGGATACCAATCTAACATATCATACTAGCATATAACCATCCTATCTACCAAGATACCGAGCTAACATATCACAATACCAACAATCACAATTAGCAAATCAAAGGGTCGGCCTTGGTGCCTTATACCCCTGAGCACAGTGAGGATAACTCACCTCGCAAGTAGTGTTGAAATATGGCAAATCTCTGGTTGCCGACCTACCAGGAATCCCAAACTGTCACATAATAATAATAAATACTAGGTTAATACCTAATATTACGCCCTTGGTTAAGTGTCCTCATAATTTATCAAGTCCATTCCCTTTTGTTGGGCCAAACCCCAACACCAAGTCCTTAACTTGAAGGTTCATATACATAAATCCATTATTGGCCCAATTTACTAAATTGGGCCCAACCTCATTATTGGGCCTAATCCCATGATCCACTACTTAAGTTGCACGGAAACGAATACGGCAACGGGAAACTGATACGGAACGGAAATGGGAAACGAAAAAAACTCAAAAATTCAAGATACGGATACGGCACAGATACGACAATATAAAAATATGAATAAACATATATATTAAAAAAATCCAAAATATGTAAAGTTTATACATATCGATTTTCGATTTCTAAATTCACTGAATTCTTTCTTGTTCTTGAATGTCGACAGCCAAGCGCGCAAGCAACCAAGCAGTAAAGTGTAAACGATAATATATGAAATCGATTAAAAATTTAAGGACTTAGGGAGGCAGTGATCGGTAAAAGACTAATAGTTGTAGGGTAATATCGTATAGCCCATTACACCATTATCCTATTTGGACCAAAGTAGACATGCAAAAAAAAAAGGAAAAAATAGGAAGCTTTGTGGAAACTTAGCCGATATGTTTCTTGAAACCCTTGATACGTTCAGGAAACATTTCCTGCCGTTTTCGTTTCCTCTAAGTATCAGATACGGGTACGGTTATTTGAATGACGTTTCCATGCATCATAGTCCACTACCACCAACTGAACATGCCTACTCAGAAAGTCCAGTAAGGCCCAACCTTACTAGCCCAAAGAGTAGTCCAACCCAAAGCCCAAAATCACCAAAAGTCCCCTGAAGGCGTACGTTGGGCGTACCCTAAGGCTACGTGGGGCCTACATGGGTTTCACGTTGACTGGAAAACGGGCCATTAACTTAGTATGCTGGGTGTACAGAACCTTGCGCTGGGCGTACACAGGGTTTCACAAAAATCCTAATAAATTAAGCACTTAAGCCCAAATTCCAGATCCAATGACCAAATGTGCCTAGGACTCATAAAGTCTCAAACTTTATCATTTTGGACGTCCAGAAAGCTCTTAATCCAAGGTCTTAATCCATTAAGACCCTTCTACTACGTGCATGGGACATCTTAAGCCATTAGGACCTCATTTTTATCACTTAAGACCTCATCAAGGTACAAAAAGGACAGTTTATCTCATCCAAAATGCATCATGCACCATATTGGGGTTTTTGGGACAAGAAATGGTTCCATAATAATATAAAGGCTAGATCTATGACCTACAAGCATAAAGTTTGAAGCTTTTTACCTCCTGGAGCTTTTAGGGCACAACACAACTTCAGATCTACTAGCTAATCTCTTTCTTAAACTATTTGTTGTAATGGCTTCCCCTTCAAGAGCTCAAAATACCCACTAATTCACTCTCTCACACAAGAACTAGGGTTTGGGTATGTTTCTGGAAGATGGAGGCTGAGAAGGAGGATAGAAAATGAGCCATAAGGATGTTTATATAGCTCCCAACCCGATATATTAGGGTTTTCATCCTTTATGAGTACGCCCAACGTACACAAGTGTACGCCCAGCGTACTAGGGTGCGCCCTAGTATGCTCAATGTACCCTTATGTACGCGCAACGTACTCCTCCTGGTCTTAAACAATTACAGTTTAGCCCTTAGGCTTTTCATGACTTTACCCTTCAATCCTCATGGACTACAATCGACAACCATTTTTTATTCTTTGATGTAATTACTTATTATTATGTGTTCATTGTTAACATTGCTTACTATCGCTATTAGGGGTCTTTTCTCACCGCTAATCCAATCCAACTTGTTATATATAACTAAATCGATCTGATCCAACTGGATATTGGATTGGATCAGTACCCATTAGATATTTTGATTGGTTATATCATTATATGTTATTCAAACAATATTAATCCATCTTCTATCAAATAACAATCAAATATAATTATGATATTTAAAACTAAAATTGCACACAATTACACTAAATTATACTAACAAACAACACTTCAAGTCTTTAACTTCAACGACCAAGGTTCAAACATGCAAAAACATTAGGAGAATTAGATATATTTGTCATTTTCTTTAATATTAATTGGATAATAATATTAGATGGTAATTAAATATTTGTTTGGATATCTAATTAAATAGAATATTGGATTGGTACGGTTAAATTCAGCTAATTTGATTTTTGGGGTAATCTAATAACCATTCCTATTCATTTGGATTTTGATATTTCGAAACCTATACAATCCAATTTTGATTGGATGCATTCAGTCGATTCACATTGGATCGGATTAATTTAAAAGATATATAATCTAAAAATAAAAGCACGATATATAATAAAGGGTAAAAAGGTACTTTTAACTTTCAATCCATTTAACGATGAAAAGATAACGTCAACCAACTTAGGGATCACATGTGAAACAAAATAAAACGATAGAGACAGCACTAATAAAATTTTAGTTTCGGGTATGAAATACATAACTATCAACATACGACAAGGACCAATTATATAATTTTGACAAAAATTTATAAAAATAGAAAGAAATTTTATATTCGATAAAAAAAAAATTATTCCCCCCTAGAAAAGTATGGAGCTATATTAATAATCTATATTCCCGATGTCTTGTAGGCTGAAACAAATTGACTTTACCTTTCTTCAATGCTTTCCACCTCTCCAACAAGTCCATGCTCACTCACCCTATTTCACACACAAACTCTCATCTCTCTTGGAGTCTTCTACATTCGCCATTACTGTTCCTTCAAGCTTTTTCTTCTTCACTGCAACTTTCCACTTGCTGCTCTTCTTGTCGATTCAATTCAAAGGTCAGAGTTCTTACCAAATTAAATCTCAAAATTCCCCAATCTCCAACGGTCATATTTCTTTTGGGGTTTTCTTGATATGTTGTCACCTGCTTTTCTTCTTTCAATCTTCTTGATTCTATGCAACTCCCATTTCATAGTTCATGTGGCTTCTTTAAACGATGAAGGGTACACTCTTTTAACCTTCAAACAGTTGATTACACAAGACCCAGAAGGATCTTTAAACAACTGGAACTATTCCGATGAAACCCCTTGTTCATGGAATGGCATTGCATGCAAGGAACTAAAAGTAATTTCCGTTAGTATTCCCAAGAAAAAGCTTCTAGGGTTCATATCTCCTGTTCTTGGATCTCTCTCTGAGCTCAGACATGTTAATTTGAGGAGCAATAAGTTCATGGGTAGTTTGCCTGTTGAGCTTTTCAGAGCCGAAAAGCTTCAAAGTTTGGTTCTATACGGTAATTCTTTATCTGGGTCTCTCCCAGATGAAATCAGCAGACTTAGTTACCTCCAAACCCTAGATTTATCAAGTAATTTCTTCAATGGGTCGATACCCATTTCATTGATTCAATGTAAGAGGTTAAGAAGTCTTGATCTGAGCCAAAACAATTTCACTGGTTCTCTCCCAAATGGGTTTGGTTCCAATTTGGGTTTTCTCGAACAACTTAACCTTTCGTTCAATCGATTCTCTGGTTCGATCCCTAAAGATTTTGGAAACTTGTCTAATTTGCAAGGAACTGTCGATTTATCTCATAATTTCTTCAATGGTTCAATCCCATCTAGCCTCGGTAATCTTCCTGAAAAAGTTTACATCGATCTCACTTACAATAACCTGACTGGTCCAATTCCTCAAAACGGAGCTCTCGTCAACCGTGGCCCCACAGCGTTCATCGGAAACACTGGATTATGTGGTCCGCCATTAAAGAACCTCTGTTCTCCAAACGACGCAAGTTCACCGTCTTCATTTCCATACCTCCCTACCAACAATCCTTCCGATTCATCTCCCGAAAAGGGTCGCAAAGGTTTGAGTAAAAGCGGTGTGATTGCTATAATCGTTAGTGATGTGATCGGTATTTGTCTCATTGGTTTGATCCTCTCCTATTGTTACTCAAGAATCTGTTTTTGTGGTAGAAAGAAACATGGGAATGAGAAAAAAGGTAAGGGAAGAAACGAGTGTTTGTGTTTCAGAAAAGACGAATCAGAAACTTTATCCGAGCATGTCGAACAATATGATCTTGTCGCATTAGATTCACAATTAGGGTTTGATTTAGATGAGCTTTTAAAGGCTTCGGCTTTTGTTTTGGGAAAGAGTGGAATTGGGATTGTTTATAAAGTTGTTCTTGAAGATGGAGTTACTTTGGCTGTGAGAAGATTGGGTGAAGGTGGTTCTCAAAGATTTAAAGAATTTCAAACGGAAGTTGAAGCAATTGGGAAAATCAAACATCCGAATATCGTAACTTTGAAGGCTTACTATTGGTCGGTTGATGAGAAGTTGCTTATCTATGATTATATCCCCAATGGCAATCTTGGCACGGCAATTCATGGTAATTTTATAGTTTTTGTATTAATTTGTCCTATTGTTATCTATTTCTGTCACATAGTACAACTTGTCATGTCAAACACAGTACAACTTGTTCTGATGCAGTCTGATGTTGTTTTCAGGGAAGTCCGGGGTTCCATCTTTTGTGCCGCTTGCATGGACCGCCCGTTTAAAGATAATGAGAGGAGCCGCCAAAGGTCTAGTCTACCTACATGAGTTTAGTCCCAAAAAATACGTCCATGGTGACCTAAAACCATCGAACATTTTACTCGATTCAAACATGGAGGCCCAAATCTCTGATTTCGGCCTCAGCCGCCTCGCGAACATAGCCGGAGGCGGCACACCGGCGGTCCAATCCACCCGGGTGGTGTCAGAAGTCGCTTCTAACACTACCCCAACTGCAGCCACATCTAATACTTCGGCGACTCAGTATCAAGCACCCGAAGCTTTCAAGGTGGTGAAACCTTCACAAAAATGGGATGTTTACTCTTTTGGGGTTGTGTTATTGGAGATGATCACCGGAAAACCGCCAGTGGTGGCGGTGGGGGCGGAGGAGATGGATCTTGTTCATTGGATTCAGATGTGTATTGAAGAAAAAAAGCCGGTTTCAGATGTTTTGGATCCGGGGTTAGGGCAAGATGTTGATAAAGAAGAGGAGATTATAGCGGTTTTGAAGATTGCGATGGGGTGCACTCAAAGTAATCCAGAAAGAAGACCATCGATGAGACATGTCGCTGAGGTATTGGATAGATTGGGTCAAGATTGAATGGAAATGGGAATGGTGGGAAGTGTTGGGTGAGTTTTGGATATTTGGAAAGTAAAAGGGTGTATGGTGTAAATTTGGTGAGGGTAACCAAAGTGAAAAGTGGAGAATGTATTATTTTATTTTGTTTCTTTGCTTGTTGTTCTTTTTCATGCAAACAGTTGGATGTTAATTTTTTAATGTAAATTTTGGAAAACATGTAATTGTGTCATATTGGTCTTGGTAATGGTGCTTCCATTTTACTTTTGACTAATGGTTTTTGTTTGTCTTCGATTGTAACACTCATTAAAACATTAAATTTTTTTATACCTATTTACTTTATTAATTGTATTCTTTATAAGCTATATGTTTTACTAAAAGTTAATGATTTTAAAAGTTAGAGGTATATAAAGACCAGTTTCAGGTTTTTATAAAGTTCTAGTTTTTTGAATAAAAAGAAAAAACAATCATTTTCACTTTTTCTTTTCAATTTATTTGGTCTTCGATCGCGAGGAGTATCGTTGCAAGTGAACCGAGCTATTTATGATCGATTTGTTAGAAGCTTGGTTTGTGATTGAATTAAATGAATCCAAACCGATCTCGAACCTAAATATAAGACTTGTTTAAATGAGCTAAAGTTGAGTTTCAATTAGTGAGTTCACTAGCTTTACCGAGCCGTGTATATATATATATATATATATATATATATATATATATATATATATATATATATATATATATATATCACATATTTGCTCAGATCCTTCTATAACCCCAACCTCATCATCGTTACCTCCACTACAATCAAACTCCATCATCCTTCGGCTACTTCCCACCCTTGATTTCTATGGTTTTGTTTTCAGAAATGGTTTGAGTCACGAGTCGTGCTCGAACTTAATTCTTAAGGCTTGGATCGAGTTGAGCTCAAGCTCGAACTTCTTAAAAATCCAACGAGCTGAACTCGAACTTGGTCAGACTCAGGCTCGATACAACTCATTTAAACCCTTAACCGAAGGATATCAGTTTCAATACAAGTTAGTTATTTATGAAGTAAATAGAGAAGAAGGAAAAGAGATCAACTATTAGGGAAAAAGAGGGAATACTTTTTTTTTTCAAATATGTCGTATAACTTAAAAATTAAGAGATATAAATTCGATGCTACCAAATGCAGTAATAACTAAATTTAAAAAACAAAAATGTTTTTTGATTAAAAAATTAAAAGACTATAAACCAAGGCCTAAACCACAAAGATTTGCAAGCTATATTGACCTCATCATTAGTATTTTTATTTTGTAATATAATATTATACTTAATTAATAAACTTATTTAATAGTTTTTTTTTTTTTGTTTTAATAAAATTTTATTTATTTTTCATATAGTAAATAAAATTTATAATATAATAAATGTTTGACTACTTTAAAGTTTAAAGCAACATACAAACCTTTATAAAACTAAAATCATGTTCACGATTTTGACAATTTTATATATTTTAATATATTTTTTTAGAAACTCATATAGCTTTTAATTTATATATATATATATATATATATATATTATTTTTATTTTGATATATTATCGAATAATTATTAATTATATATAATAAATATATTTATTATTTTTAGTGATGGCCAATTTACGAAAATACTAGTATTTCACAAATACATATAGAAATTCTTTTAGAAACTCATATAGCATAATTGAAAAACCAATATCTTGTATAAATATATCCATGTAGATTATTATCCTCATTTATATATACTACAATTTTTTTTAAATGAAATAATTTCGTATATACCCTTATTAGACATTAAAATATCTTATTTGTCGAACTTAATTTTTAAATATCATATTTACCTTTAAAAAAAATTAAAATATCGTGTCGGTTTTAAAAATCAAAATATCATGTTATTTTTAAATATAAGAAATATCATATATGTTATTTTTAAATATCAGGATATCAATTGTGATATCTAAAATATCATCGCTCTGCAACATGATATTCAACAAAACCAAAAACTAAACAATCAATGATTTATTCCATAGAGAGGGAACACTTTGTTTGTCAAAATAACGATATTTCAATGATTTAAAAGTAGATGTTTCATGATTATGGACGTAATTATAATATAGTAATGATAATATAGTTAAAATCTTTAATTATTTAAATAATTCTAAGATATAAAAAATAACTATAAAGTAGTAAAAATATTAACAAAAAGATTTGAGTAAACATAGCATTTGGAAGGTTTATAAAGATAAATATAAGAAATTAAATTGTGCAATATAATAATATAACATTTTGATGAAGAACATTTATCATCAAATATATATATTTTTTCATTTATCTTGTTATCTTTATAGAAATTCAGTTAAAAAATATAATAATCAATAAAGATAATATAAAGTTGGAAAAGAAAAGTGGGGTTGAATGAAAATCAAATGTCGTTGATTGGAAGCGCGCACAACGCAATTAGGCCGTCATTCATGCCTCACCCACTTTATATGTTTCACAAATTATTTTTCTTTTTGTTGGTATTTATTTATTTAGTTTATCATATTTTGATAAATATACATAAAAATAATTATAGTTTGATTTTTTTTTCTTCAGTTTAATCATCTTATTTTATTCCAATTAACAAAAGTTATGTACTTAAAAACATTATTCATTATGACTTCTGTAAATCTCTAATTATTGTTTTTTGAGGTATTAAACATGAATATAACATGGTTTTTCTTCATGGCACGCTATTAAATAAAATTTATATTTATCTAAGTCTTTTTATTCGGACTAACATGTTATACATATATAATATAAGTAACAAAAAGCTATATCTTAAAGTTGGATGTTATTTTAGAAAATATATGATGTTATGTAAGATAATAAGAGACTGTCAATTTAAAATATACTAAACTAGAAATATGAGTTCCACCGGCTAAAGTGATGTTTTTTTTCTTCAAAAATAGATAAATTTTATTAACTGAAATAAATTTAATGATTAAACTGCAAAATAACTAAAATATAATGATAACCCTAAACTTAATTTGTAGCATGAATTTTTTGTTGCTTGTGGTAAACATGGGTTCGGTTTTTCAATTATTGATGGACCTTTTGTACTTGTATACAAAGATTGGTGATTTTTTTTTTTTTTGGCGTGAAAAAATAGTTGATGTTGCATGTTGGTCCATAAAGGGTTTTCTGATTTCGTCATCATCAAACAATAGATAATCATTTCTCTTTTCAAACTTATAGTCTAAATTCAAATCATGTTAACTTTTTACTCTGTCTATATTCTAAAAAGTGTTCAACTCTCCTTCGGCTTATATTTTAGAATTAGAAAGTTTGAAGTGCAAACGAACCGGGTTTAACAAGACTTCGGCCCGTTTTGAAAATCCACAGCCCATGTCCTATTTTATTTGAGTTTGACTGGAAAAAAAGCGTAATCACTATTATCGATCTAGAAGACTCGATCCGAACTCATTTGGCCCTAGTCCTCCCACTTTAGTTTTCGATTTTTGTTTTTATATTATATAATATTCCACCATTAGATATTTTATTAAAAAAATATTTACTACAAAAAGACCAAGCTGCCTGCATACAAAATAATTGTGGCAAAAATCTAAATGACAAAATATACTACTAGAAAAAAAATGTTTTATATAGGTGTAACATCTCCTACGTACATAAAATATAATTTAAAATATGACAGAATATATATTTTTATATAATATAGTAGAAGTAAATGTTCTTTATAGGTGTAGCGGTTAAACAGGAAAAGGTTGTCTCACTAACTATTTTTGGATAACAAAATCAATTTTTTTAAAACCACATCCACAGAACTAGGGGTTGTAACATTACTATGCATGAAACGTTAGATTATATTGAGAAACTCCACTATATCTAGCACAAAAACCAATAATATGAACTGCAAAAGGTATACACGCATGTTAATTTTTCCATACATACTTTCTCATGTTTGGTCATTTTGCTTGAGACGACTTTTAAAACAGTCTAAACTCACTCCCCAAAGCCATAAGAACGGATAATTATGTTAGATTCATACATGCATGTTTCTATTTTACCCATCCAAAACTAAAACATTGATTGATCTAAATGTTGATCTTCCTTCTAACAATCACTCAAGAAGTTCACATTGTTGAGTTTTATTCATAAATAGTTATAATAAACTATGAGTTTAGCAACCGAAGCATTAAAATTTGAATAACATTAAAACCATTTTATACCCACCCAATATCATTTTGCAATCATGAAAGTATTAAACCAGTCATAGAAAGAAAAAGAGCTGTAACATTTGAAGACTTTTATTCATCTCGGAAGGTTGGAAGTTGATGAAAATGACAATGACTCAAAGTAGAGTTTCTCTAGAAGCAACCATGAATCTTTCCAGAAAAAGGTGCCACAACCATATTTCCAAGGACCCTCTTAAACAACTCCTAGAAGGAAATCTCTTTATCTTGCAAGTCAACATCAAATTGAGAAATACTTAGCCACACACATTTAATGTAATTATTGGCGATAGGTTTATCTTCAATAAGTTTTAATTTATGGATAGACTCAATACATGTAGACGAAAAAGAATTACCTCTGTTTTTTAATCTCCACCACCATTTGGCAAGAAGAGCCAAATTAGCCAAGTGAAGAGAACCAGCACTAAGACCACCCTCTTTTTTAGGTTTAGTGACCTACTCCCAAGCAACCCAATTGACTTTCTTCTTTACATCATCGCCACCCCAAAGGAACCTCCTTCCAATACCATCAAGCACGTTGATAATATTTCTAGGAGCTCTAAAGATTGAAAAATAGTAGAGAGGCAAGCTATTTAAGACCGAATTCACAAGAGTTAGACGACCTCCAAAAGACAAAGTTTTCGCCTTCCAATTTGATAACCACTTCTTGAATTTTTCCATCACCGGATTCCAATTTTTGGTGATTTTCATGTTAGCCCCAATCAGAAGCCCAAGATAAATGAATGGAAAAGAAGCGGGCTCACATTTAAGGATGCTAGCAAGTCTGTCAACCTCCAAATTATCCACATCGATACCATACACCTTACTTTTATGAATATTTACCTTTAAACCTGAAGCAATGAAAAAGCAACGGAGTAATCTATTAAGATTCACAAAATTAGTCTCCGACCATTCCTTTACAAAAGTCACATCATCAACATACGTAAGGTGAGAAATAGAAGGTCCGTTGTTGCCAAGAGAAAGACCATGAAAATGGTGAAGATCGCAAGCCGCCTCCATAGAAATATGAAGACCTTCCATGACAATTTAAAAAGAAACAGAGCAAGATGATCACCTTGCCTCACACCTCTACAAATATCAAACGCTTTGGTGGGAGATCTATTAACTAAAATAGAAGTCCTACTAGATGAAAGATATCCACCCAAGCTCCATTTCCTCCATGATTGAGTCTAAGAACTCCCAACTCAAAGAGTCAAAAGCTTTATCAAAATCAACTTTGAAAATTAACACATTTTTCTTTACTTTTTTTGGCCCACGAGACAATTTCATTGAGCAAAAACGGACCATCCAAGGTACTTCTACCACTAACATAAGTTGATTGCTCCGAGTTAAAGATCTTATCCAACACATGCTTCAAACGGTTGGCAATAATTTTTGAAAGAATCTTGTACAAGCAACCCACAAGACTAATAGGTCTATGCTCTTTCAAAGTTAACGGATCACTAGTTTTCGGTAATAAAGAAATAAATGAGGAATTACAACCTTTCGCCAAAATACACCAAGCTTTAATGAACAAAATAATATCAATTTTAATCAAGTCCTAGTAATGCTTCAAAAAGTTAAAGGTAAACCCATTCCTTCCAGGCGCCATGTCGCTACCGCAACACCAAATAGCATTTCGAATCTCCTCTTCACTAAACGGAGTAGTAAGGTCATCAACGGACAACTTCTTGAAACGAATTAAGTATTAACTGTAAAGAGAAATTAAATATCATTATACTATTGTTTCTAAAAATCTTCCTACCCAATTTAATGATGATATATGTTATTTTAGTATACTCAAATATCATTAATGAGCATTAAATGTGACACATGTTATCATTTAAAATAAAATGATATTTAATTTCTCAATTGTAAATAATAACTTTTACAATGAATGTGTAGTGTGTACATTGCCTAAAAACATGTTAACTATACCAACCTAATATCTAGGTTCACTATTTTGGCCATTAAAATTAACAAAAATAATATGGAATCATGATTAACCTTGGAACTTTACGAAAAAATAACTTTTAGAATCACAAAAAGAGGTTTTGAATCTAGAAGTTTTCTAGAATGTTTATTTTGAAGGTTTTGAATCCACATGTGGAAATATTTAGTGGTTTTGAATATTATATCAAACCAAGAATTTTTTATATAGAGTAAAATATAATGTACATATTGTAGGCGATTATTAACAATAATCGATATTAAGGGCCTTTCCATTTCAAATCCCATTTTTTTATATTATTTTTGTGTAAACTCATTTCCAACCTTATTTCTTTGCACCATTTTGATGTAAGAGGAATATTATAACAACAAATTTCATGTTATATCAGTTATTTATGATTATGCATATGAAACACCCCTCATATGACAAAAAGGAAATAACATTATACTTTAAAGATTATAATAAACACACTAACAAACATTTATATGATGGAATAAATGTTAATAAAGTCTAAGAGCGATATAACAAGACATAACTACGAAAAGTAATAACTAGCTATTTTCAACTCCAAAAAATCTCCAAATGTATTTACATATAAAATCTAAATCTCAAAAGAAGTATATCCAACATATTTTTTTTCTTAAAAGTTAAAACAACAATCCAACCTTATCAAATGTCAACAAAGGGTGTGCTTCCAAACCATGTGGGCCTACAACTATCTCAACTATGCTCATGAGTCATGAGTACATACATACGAAAACAACAACTCAACCCATAAACTGACTACTATTAACAAAATACCGAATACAAATGAAAAAGTCTTGTAAAGCTTTCACATGTTTGTAACAATATCTTAAAATAACAATACTTAGCAATAATTTTAAACAATAAATATGACATATCTTAGAATGAATGAATTGTAGCGTATTTCCTTATTTGGGCCACATTGGATGCTTATTCAGTATTCTTGAATTTAATATACTTTTTTGATTTCTAATTATCTTTTAGTTCTACGCTTCTACCCCACGTTGATTATAATATAATACAGGTAGAGTTTCTTAATAGTTTAAACTAAAACGTTTAATATATTTAAGTTATTTTATTTTTAAAAAAATTGGGAAACAACTTATTTTGTTCTATTGTTATGACTCACTGGTTTTCAATACGACATGAGTGTATGAGTGTATGACCACTATTTTATAAAATGAAATAAGTTGGTTTTATGATTCGTATATGATAAATTCCAAGGTGTATATTTATAAAACTTGATACCTAATGAAATGTTGCATGTATAAATTGATGAAATATTAATAAAACTTCAAGTGTGAGGCTGTGATTGCATACTATGTTAATATTATGCTGTCCAATTGTACTTTTGTATTACAGAATTACCATATGATCTTGATTTTGTGGTATTCGATAGTAGTGGGACAGGTTGGATTTGAATTTGCATCTTCAAAATACTCATTAGTATTTTGTTTATATTGCAAAAACCTCCAAGAAAATCACCAAAGAAAACAGAACAAGGGTGAAGACAAACGCACCTGCAAGCTGCCCATAGTCCCACACAATTAGTTGTCATTTCCACAAAGCATCAATTCCACCCAAATCCATGAAAATTCTCCTCATTCAGCTCTAAAATCAATGGCCACTACAGTAACTCCTGAACATGGAAGACACAGGAAACCAAGAATCAAATCACGCTCTGCAACCCCTAATTCAACTCATGTTACTGAATCCAGGGAACGTCTTCCTCCCAGGAAAAACCTGTTTGGATTTTTGAGTCTGGGATGTGGTCGGTGTTCCTCTCCGGCGGCGGCTGTGCATCCTCCAGGGCGAATCCTGCCGGAAAATACGAGAAGAAGGAGGAGGAGGAGGAATAAACAGAGAAGAAACAGTGGATCACGCCAGGAAAATATGGTGGTTATTGTTCCGGATGTTTGCTGTACTCCTCCTGGGATTGGATTTACATATGATGTTGCACAGAGTACAAGTGCTGATACGAATAGACGAAATCACCGACAGGTATCATATCATATGCTCTTAAAGTTCTTTCGAAGCTTCTTAAATCCGCCATAGTCAAACACAGGTCAAATTTTACTGAAAATGGAACGAAATTTTGTGTGAGAAGTCCATAAATAATATCGAAAAAACACTATTAAGCATGGAGACGATGAACAATAACAAAAATATTACCATTTTTATAGCGTTCTCGTGCCACAAGGCAAGCGGCGGATCTTCAACAGCCATGGAGCACTACAGAAGTCGATGCTACAGCTTTCATAAGATCAAATGTATCTGATTCGAGGCAATATACTCGTCTCCAACGCCGTTCTCCTGGGGGAATATCTGAGGTTTGATTCTCATTTCATTACCGAAAACTATGCTAAAATCTCTGCAACTGTAAACGATCGCATTTAATCAAGTAGCAATCTAGATCTGGTAAAACGAGCGAGCGTTATAATCGATGAGTAACATAAGCTACAAAATTTGCAGATTGTGATGTTGGAACTTAATCCATTGTTGGATGGGAGATTAGAAGGAAGCGATCGGTTTGGAGCATGGAGGATCAACGCAGATATCATGTCATACGAGGTATTTCCTTCATTCAAGCTTTGACTCCATGAAAAATCAAACTGATTCGCCATTTTTTTGCAGGAATTGGTGGAATTGGGTGACAGAATCGGGTACGTTGGTGGTGGTTTGCAAGAAGAAGAAATACTCGACTGTTTAAGAAGACCTAAGAAATCCTTCCTTAAGTCCTTTGACTTTAATTCTAAAGTCAAAGACTCTAAATGTAGCATATGTCAAGTAAGTTCATCTCAAAATACTTATTGTTACATGGGACTTGGATTTAAGCTAATGGAACAAAAATTTTAGGGTTATTTTTTATACTGTATTTTATTAATTTTTAGACAACATAAAAAGTTATATAACAAACTTAATACAATAATGATGTGTAGATGTCAAAATAAATAATTTGTGAATTTCAGGAGGAGTGTAAAGGAGATGAAGATTTGGGGAAACTTGAATGTGGGCATTATCATCACGTAGATTGCATAAAACAATGGCTACTCTACAAAAACGAATGCCCAATCTGCAAAACCGTGGCTAAACCCGATAAATGAGTGCGATAAGTTACTATGTTTTTGTGATGTTGGTTTTGATATATTTTCTTTTTTGGATTTTATTTAGGCTAAGTATATGTATACAAGTATACAACTAGCTAAGATTAAGCCCTTTTGTGTTTTTAGTTATTTTTTTTTTATCGATGTTGGTTTTTGTTTATAATAATTGAACATGTTATTGTGTTTTGCTGAATAAATTACACCATATTTGTTAAAAAAAAAAATTATCCATCTTAGTTAATATGAAAGAGGTAAATAACAATTGTTTCACGGTAATAAAGGTGATGTCTATGCTTAAACCGAGATTTCGTTTATGAATTCTTAACTTCTAGACTAACTAGTAAAGAACACTCGGGCTTTGCCTTATGTTATTTTATTTTTACTTTTTTTGAAACTTTTTTTTTTTTTCAAATTACGGTATTGTATTTTGAAAGGTTTATTTTTACCTATAATAGAAAATGTTCTTACATAGTGATACAAATATTTTATTTAATATCTGTTGCTAGCATTGGTGATTAAAAATATGTGTTGTTATCTGAGAAAAATAAGACTATATAGTAGAATATCAAAGGTGGGGACCAAAAGGGGCAACTCCACAAACTCATGTGACAAAAACTTGAGGTGTCACGTTTGGTAAATGACACTCACCAAAAGTGGGAAACTCTTAAACCCTTTGTATTTGTAGTTAGCAGTAGCGAATATTGAAGCTGAGGGACCAAAAGTGTCAACTCCACAAACTAATGTGGTAAAAAGTTGATGAGGGACCAAAAGTGGCAAAGTATTAAAAGTTTTGTGGCAAAACTTTAAAAAAAATTAAGAAGGGACTAAAACTATCAAAATGGCTAAGGAATTATGACAAAACCCAAAATAACTAAATTATACTTTTCCTTAATATAACCTCTCAAAATTTATAACCAAAAAATTCATTTTTATATTAATAAGGAACCACCCAACACTTGTTCATAAAAACTAGTCATAGAAAATCAAAGAACGTCATCAAATATCTAAGAATACGTCAGAGTCAATCATGCGGAAAACATGGTGTGTGCAATGTGATCAACCCAAGCCCTACCCCTTCGAACCGTAAGTACTTGAAACATAAACTGAAAACCGTAAGCACAAAGATTCAGTGAGTTTCCCTAAATACTGCATATCATACATACAAGTCAACTCAAGGCTATACCGGGTTTTATTTCACATCCGGGTCTATTTCACTCCGAGTCTATTTCAACGCAAATCTCAGCTCAAGGTTGTACCGTTTCTATTTCACCACTGAGTCTATTTCAAGTGAATCGGTATTTTTCAACCATATAGGTCTATTTCACCCCACATACATCTAGCAATCAGGCATACATGCATACAATAAGAGTCATAAAGACAACAAGCACATACCACCACAATGTCCAACAGTATATAGTGAGCAAACTCCCATCGATCTGGCTGATAAACAAATAAACACTCGGGTTGTTGAATCGGAGAATCCCCGCACTAATCATAAACAAATGAAACCTAAATTAACAACTATGCCAAAAACCATAACTAAGAGTCTAAATCCTTAATACTGACTCCTAGGGTAAAAGATCATTATATCCTTCCCTTTATGGGCCTAAATAATGACGACCCAAAACCCAAAATGGCCCAAGGCCCATAAATAACCCAAATCCATAAAGACCTAAGGCCTTATAATGGCCCAAACTAGTCCAAAGGCCTAAAACCCCAACTAGTGAGTACGCCCTGCGTACCACCAGAGTACGCCTGACGTACTCTTTGACGATCAAATTACGGGACTCAAACCCAATACCCGCAGTGTACTCAGAAGTACACGTAGCGTACTGGTGAAAGATCCTAAAGGCTTAATCCCTTAACACCTTGATGTCCAAACCTCAGACCTACATTTAAATAAGGTCTTAATCCATAAAGTTGACAACTTTACTAACTTTCATGGCTCAAAAGGACCTAATACCAAACCTTAGGTCCAAAACTCCTTAAAAAGGCCAACAACTCACGCATGGTTGAACCATAAACACAAAAACCAAACGTCCAACTTAAAGTGTGACAACTCGATACTTTCTAGTCAACAAAAGTCAAATTCGGTTAAATAAAATTTTGAATTTTTATTTGTTCAGCTAAGTTTTTGTGGATTGGAAAATAATCTAAAATATATAATTAGAGGTTATATAAGTTTTAGAACCAAAAACACTCGAAAAATCAAGTTTTCCTTCGAAAAGTCAGCAAACTCCACCAGTCATGCGTTTACCGCCGCAAACCCTTGGTCCGTAAACCCGTTTACCTCCAAGACTATTCCCGGCCGCAAACCCAACCGGTATAAAGGTTTTTCCCGGAGAGATTCTTCATTTTCACCCAAAAACTCTCTCAAGTTGCTCCCAAGAATCTTCCAAGAACATTCATATCATCAAGATCAAACCTTCAAATCTTTAAGTTTTTCCTTAAGAACACCAAGAACAAAGAACAATCTTCATATCTTCAAGGGTTGCAAACCGATTTGCACCCACAAACCATTCACAACCGCAAATCTGTTTGCATCCGCAAATCTGTTTGCATCCGCAAACCTGTTCACGGCCGCAAACCCTGGATCCCAACCGCAAACAACCTTGAACCGTGAACCTTGGCTGAAAACCTGCTTTTCCCACTTCAAACAAGTTTCGGTAACATTCCTAATCCAAAAACAAGTGTTTTCTAACTCTATAATTAATGGTTTCACTAATATGAAATACAATTATGTGTTTAATTATCATTAGGATACTGTTAATTCCGCGTACTCCAACTCGAGGGTCATCTTTCCAGTTTTGTTGTCGAACACGTGCACATAATCAACTGTGGGCAGGGGGAATACAAGCCAAAACACCTGAAAAATTTTGTGTTCTTATACAAAGGATTTCAACATAATTAAAACTGATGCAATTGATACAACTAAGAGATCACTACATTTTTATAACATATTTAGATATTTTATCCCTTTTGTAATATGTTGAGCATGAGGGAGGTTTTCAACATACAACCATAATTACAAAGTTTTCTTTACAATACGTTAATCGAATACACAGCATACATGTAAACTATAATAGGTATAGTTTGGGATCCAACATACGGTTTTATTAATTCAAGAGCTTATACATTAACATACATACAAACTACGATAGACATAGTTTATGGTATACAATACTATTTCCTAAATACGAGAGTACGATACTAAATAATTATTTTACTCTATAAGTCATACACACTGTTTCTAGTACAATAGAACACTACAACACTACACGTAAACTAGTTAATATAAAGTTGTGAGGCACTACTTCAATTGTACCCTTCGAGGTGCGGAATAAATCCTACCATAGTATAACCAGAGGCTCCTGGAGGGAGAGCGTGACATTTGTGAATATATCTATTCGGGACTGACAATCCCACACCTAAACTGCTAGCTACAGTTAGGCGGGCATGCCTGGGGTGACAAATATCATAATGTCCGACGTCTGAAGAACGTCGTAGAGGTCACTAGGTTATATCAAGCATGGTTATACCAAACTCACAACAGTATAAACTAACCATATGTTTACGGGATTTCATTCTTCATCGGTTTTATTTTAAGTAATAAAACTATTATACATATTGGTGGTAACCAGGGTTTTCATACAAAACAACATTATACAATACATACTGGTGGTAACCACGGGTTTTCATAAAAAACAACGCTATACAATACAGTTGGTGGTAACCAAGCATACAAACTAACATTTTCATACACTAATACAGAATATAGTAACGAACATGCATTTTGGTCTTAGGGTTAAGACTACAATTCATTATAAAAGAAAATATTGGATTTTCTTGTGAGTCATACAAACATTTTTTGCAGATTCCATGGCAGATTTCATTATAAAAACATTCTTATGAACTCACCAACTTAAATGTTAATACTCTTTCAAAATCGTTTGTATTCTCAAGAAATCATTAGACAGGTACTTCCGCGAGCTTTTGAGAAGACGGAGCATATAGAGTCACGTCTTTTACTATTTTGTTATACTTTTGTTGTATACAAATTATGTATCAAACAAATGTAAATACCTTATATATTCAATGTAATGGTTGTGTTTACTTTGATTACTATGATACAATTATTGTGATACTGTACATGATGTCCTCCACCCCCGAACGTTTCCGCCGTTTCAGTTTGGGGGTGTGACAGATTGGTATCAGAGCTATTGTTATAGTGAACTAAGTATATCAAACCTTACATGGTATATGTCACACCCCCAAACCAGAACGGCAGAATTGTTCGAGGGTCGATGACTTCATGTACAATATCATAACAATGCAAAGTAGTAAACACGCAACAACATCGTCCATTGCATTAATAGTAATAGTTTAATACATGTGTGTTCTTTCATAGTAATAATACATTACAACAAGTAATCAAAATAAAAGACGAGTCTTGACTACTCCGTCTTCGCAAAACCTGGTCATCGTACCTATCTACTGGTGACCTGAGAATACAAGTTATTTTGAAAGTGTAGGTCAGCATTTAAGCTGGTGAGTTCATAAGTAATTAATGTCATTGTTTGTATAAGTATGATGAAAACGTTTGAAATTGTTCAATGTAATTGTTTGTATATGTTTTGAAAACTCCTAGAAAATCCCATATTTTCTACTAGTATAAAAGTAGCCTTTTATCGAGGCCTGACTGTTTTTGAATATTTGTTTCTAAAAGTCCAACATTTATCCATAAGTGTGTGGCAGTTTAAAAGTTCCAAAACTATAACACAATGATGTTTTTCATGCCTAAATAATAGATTTATGTATTTAGAAAATCGCTAAGGCACTTGATGACTCTGTAAACCAATATATTTTTAATACTCCTTGTGAGTCTTTTGTTTAAGTAAAACTGGTTAAAAGGGTGTTTATCCCGAATTGTGAACATGCTAATAATATCCCATGGTATAATTATTACCCCCTGAGCATGATTGAGTTAAATGTATATTACTATGTACAAGAGTTGTTGTTTTCGTGGTTTGTATGTTTCTCATAACCATACTAGACATGGTACTAATGTCGATATTTGTCACCCCAGACCTACCGGTCCAACTGGAGCTTACAGTTTAGGTGTGGGTTCGTCAAACCCGTATAGATCTATACACAAATTCACGCTCTCCCTCCAGGAAACTATGGTTAAAGATGGGGACTTTTGTTTTGGTACTAACAA